TGCTTAGGGTGCATCCATGTGTCCTTCTCCCCCTCTAGACAATGGTCCCAGGAGAGTGGTTCATAGTGACATCAATCGGCCCCGATGGGGGATCTCGTTGTGTAATAGAAACCGCACTGCCCCGGGGAGGGGGCTGGTTGGACATCCCCTCCTTCCCACAGTCTCTGGGTGCCGTAGGCTGAGTCGCTTGACTCCAGAAAGAAGGCACATAAACCCTGAGTTAAAGTCAGACAGCGTGGGGACAGTCGATCTCTTCAGATCCCTCCTAATGAAAATGCATGCTTGTTTTCAATCTGCAGACATCTCAGTGCCCTGACGCCCTTCCGCTCTCTGCCCCCTAACCCTGCTTTACTTTCGTCACGGCCCTTGGCGCCCCTGGTGCTCCACAGTCGGATGTTTGTTCCTTTTCCCTGCACCGGAATGCTAGTCCCACCTGCAGGGGACTGGGTCCATCCTGTTCACAGGGGTCCGCTTGCCCAGCAGAGTGGTCCTGGCTGAACACGTGAGCTGATTGCTGAAAGGCTGGCTAATGCCCCAGGGTCTGAAATCAGGCAGGTCTGGGTTCAAGCCTTGGCTCTCCTGGGCCCCTGAGCGGGTGGTTTCTCTGCAAGTCCCACCTGCACATCTCTAACTCAGAACCATCAGGAACAGCCCCTCCCTCCAGAGACGTGGCAGCGGTAGCCCGCGACAGGCTTCCCGAGGGCCGAGCGCAGCACCTGGCACAGAGGGAGCTCCCAGGAAACGTTCTCTCTATGCCTACGTGCAAGCTGTCCTCCCGGGCTTCGAGAGGCGGGACTTGGAGCAAGGGGGTCTCCTCTGAGACTCAGTGTCCCCGTCCGTGAAATGGAAACATTAACACCTGTCCCGGCAGACAGGTGAAGGCTCAGTAAGATGACGATGATGGCGGTGGTGGCAGCTAAACCCATTTCGTGCGTCCTGCGCACTTAGCCCTCGGGTTATCCAAATGGATGCATTTCCTCTTTATTGCGCCCCTAAGAGGTGGTGTCAATATTCTCTCTCCATTTGCCACCAGAGAAGCTAAGGCACAGGAGGGGAAGGAACTGGCGAGGAGTGACGTGCGCACTGCAGGCCCAGGCTGGGTCCTCCGTGCTGTGAGGGTGCTGCCCGCCCCACCGGCTCAGTCCTCCCGCTGCCCCACCGCCCGGCTGATCTGAGCCGCTCGGCGCACCAACCCCCCCACCTTGGGGGCAGGCGATGTTTTCTCCAGTGTTGGCTCTTCAGTCACTGCTCTGTTTTTTAAAGGAATTGAACACTCGGGTCCAGGAGGGAGGGCGGAAGGAGGAGATGGATGGGTGGAGATTTGAGATGATAGGAAAGAGGGAGCCGCGCGT